TTTTTTTTTTTTTTCAGAATTCTAAGTCACACTGCTTTTTTCCCCCTTGTTCAAAAAGGTCAGCTGTGTTTGATTATATCTTTGCTGCTTTTAACTTGTCTTTTCAGTAAACTTTTTTTCTTTTTTGTCACTACTCCCTAGTACACTACTAAAAAGGAAAATGAAAAGTCGTTGAAGTCTTTCCTACTGGCCTGTGATAAAACTGCTCAAGCAGCTGTAACCTAAGATGTCTCTTAGATTTGATAGACAATCAAATCTGATAGCCAACACCTCAGGAAAAACAGGGTTTACATTTGCTACTAGCACAGTGAATGGAGTAATTAAACATGTTTATCGTCTAGCAAAATATTTATAGTCAAGGGGTTTTTTTTTGTTTGCATGCTTTTGATTTATTTTTTTGTTTTTGTGTTCGATCACTTTTGCTGTTCTAAAATTTTGTATTGTTTCAGCGTAAGATATATTTTTATCCTGATACAGAATATTTCATAAATTTGTTATATGTATGGGTCATGGATCTTTTTAAGACTGTTCAGAATTTTTAAGAAAATCTATTTTAAAACATTTTAATTTTTGATTTCTCATTTTCATTCCATTATTGTACATCTCTATAACACAAGAAAACTGTTTTTTTCCTTGACAAAATATTTGCATTCTAGCAAAGAATCTTCAGGTTTTAGAATTTGCAAGAAATACAAAGAACTATAAACATCTTTACAATTACATCTCCAAAGGCTCAAAGAAACATTTTGGAAATGAGACTACAAAAATAATTCTAACACAAGTATTAGATGCACATGCGAACGCACTTTTTAAAAAATGTCTTCCTATTTTATTACCAACATTATCACTTTTATTGCAACTCTGAAAGACTGGGCAGATAAATAAGCATGCACTCAAACCATTTGGAATGACTGAAAAATAGAGGTCTTTTAAAAATATTTGTAACGAATTGTCTTTGTTCTTCCTGCACAAAATTGATGTCAGGCTTTCTCCTTTTATAGCACCAAATGCTGACCCAAGGAGCAGGTAATCGCAAGTTCAAATGTACAGAGTGTGGCAAGGCCTTCAAATATAAACACCATTTGAAAGAACACCTGCGAATTCACAGTGGTGAGTAGCAGAGGTGCTGGCATTCAAATTTGCATTTTGTTTAATTAGTGGAGTTTTAAATGATTGTTTAAAATGTACACAGTCTTACTAGTAGCTTTATGGACCTACTTACTTATTTCATGACTGATTTGTCTTCATGAGACTTTTGACACCGCCAGTAGCACTGTCTTATGAAAAGAAGAGGAAGGTTTATACTTCATAAAATTACAGATGCTTAGATTCATTACAAAATCTGGAGGCTCCTTTTTGTCCCTTTAAACCCCCTTCTTCAGACTAAATATTTTTGACCTGAAAAAACTCAGCTTGCAAATTTTGAAGGATATTCATCTTTGACACTTAACCATGAAATATGTGTTGAAAAATTTTGGATAAGAGCTTCAGTATGATAAATGTTCCTTAATTCCTGGAAGCTGTATATCACAGAACAATATCCACCACTGAGATTTCTTCTTTATAACTAGTTTGATAGCTCTGCCAAGCATTTTATTACCAAATTGGATGCTATTCAAAGGACTAGTTGGATTGGTAGAATCAATGGAATTGCCACAGAGTTGATTAAAGCCATGGCTACACTTCCCTTTAAATACTGTGACATCTTTATTGTGCTATTGACCACGCATTAATCTGACACTCTGTTTAAATAGGAGGCTGCCGATGGCAAGACAAGATTTGGGATCTTAGCTGAAGAAAGGCATAGATAGCCCTCACCTTCCACTGCTAACATCTTGAATTATGTCCTCCCAGGGTAGATAAAGTCCAAAAACAGTTATGGTCACATAATTCTAATCTAAGCACCTAAAATACAGAGGGGTACCCCATTGTATTCCTTTCCATAAGTTTTACAGATTCTTGCCTTGGTAGAAACTGCAATTGATACCTGGACAAAGACATGTAATGTTAATTTTAATTATCATTTTAGGTGAAAAACCTTACGAGTGCCCAAACTGCAAGAAACGTTTCTCCCATTCTGGTTCCTACAGTTCGCACATCAGCAGCAAGAAATGTATTGGTTTAATCTCTGTAAATGGCCGAATGAGAAACAATATCAAGACTGGTTCTTCTCCTAATTCTGTTTCTTCTTCTCCTACTAATTCAGCCATTACCCAGTTAAGAAACAAGTTGGAGAATGGAAAACCACTTAGTATGTCTGAACAAACAGGTTTACTTAAAATTAAAACAGAACCACTAGACTATAATGACTACAAAGTTCTTATGGCCACACACACGTTTAGTGGCACCAGTTCCTTTATGAATGGTGGACTAGGAGCCACCAGCCCTTTAGGAGTTCATCCGTCTGCTCAGAGTCCAATGCAGCACTTAGGTGTAGGGATAGAAGCTCCATTACTTGGATTTCCCACCATGAATAGTAATTTAAGTGAAGTACAAAAGGTTCTACAGATTGTGGATAATACGGTTTCCAGGCAAAAAATGGACTGCAAGGCTGAAGAAATTTCGAAGTTGAAAGGTTATCACATGAAGGATCCGTGCTCTCAACCTGAGGAACAGGGAGTTACTTCTCCTAATATTCCACCTGTTGGTCTTCCAGTCGTGAGTCATAATGGTGCCACTAAAAGTATTATTGACTATACGTTAGAAAAAGTCAATGAAGCCAAAGCTTGCCTCCAGAGCTTGACTACTGACTCAAGGAGACAGATCAGTAACATAAAGAAAGAGAAGCTGCGTACTTTAATAGACTTGGTCACTGATGATAAGATGATTGAGAACCATAGCATATCCACTCCATTTTCATGCCAATTTTGTAAAGAAAGTTTCCCTGGCCCCATTCCCTTGCATCAGCATGAACGTTACCTTTGTAAGATGAATGAAGAGATCAAAGCAGTCCTGCAACCTCATGAAAACATAGTCCCCAACAAAGCTGGAGTTTTTGTTGATAATAAAGCCCTCCTCTTGTCATCTGTACTTTCTGAGAAAGGAATGACAAGCCCCATCAACCCATACAAGGACCACATGTCTGTACTCAAAGCATATTATGCTATGAACATGGAGCCCAACTCTGATGAACTGCTGAAAATTTCCATTGCTGTGGGCCTTCCTCAGGAATTTGTGAAGGAATGGTTTGAGCAACGAAAAGTCTACCAGTATTCCAATTCCAGGTCACCATCACTGGAAAGGAACTCCAAGCCGTTAGCTCCCAGCAGTAACCCTCCCACAAAAGACTCTTTATTACCCAGGTCTCCCGTAAAACCTATGGACTCCATAACATCACCATCTATAGCGGAACTCCACAACAGTGTTACCAATTGTGATCCTCCTCTCAGGCTAACAAAACCCTCCCATTTTACCAATATTAAACCAGTTGAAAAATTGGACCACTCGAGGAGTAATACTCCTTCTCCCTTAAATCTTTCCTCCACATCTTCTAAAAACTCCCACAGTAGTTCGTACACTCCAAACAGCTTCTCTTCCGAGGAGCTCCAGGCTGAGCCTTTGGACTTGTCATTACCAAAACAAATGAAAGAACCCAAAAGTATTATAGCCACAAAGAACAAAACAAAAGCTAGTAGCATAAATTTAGACCATAACAGTGTTTCTTCTTCATCTGAAAACTCAGATGAACCTCTGAACTTGACTTTTATCAAGAAGGAGTTTTCAAATTCAAATAATCTGGACAACAAAAGCACTAACCCAGTGTTCGGCATGAACCCATTTAGTGCCAAACCTTTGTACACAGCTCTTCCACCACAAAGCGCATTTCCCCCTGCCACCTTCATGCCACCAGTGCAGACCAGTATCCCTGGGCTACGACCATACCCAGGACTGGATCAGATGAGCTTCCTACCACATATGGCCTATACCTACCCAACTGGAGCAGCTACTTTTGCTGATATGCAGCAAAGGAGAAAGTACCAGCGGAAACAAGGATTTCAGGTAAAGAGGCATGTCTTTTCGCGCTGAAGAGAGAAGATAAAAATGACATAGTTTATGTGCATGTAGGAAAATAATGTTAGTGTAAAAAATCAGCAGAAATAGAAGAGTTTGTTTTAACATGAGACTAAAACTGTGAGCGGGCTAGAATAATGAATAGATGAAAAAGTAAAACACTATAATCTGTAAGTACATTTGCTTTTAAAAATGTTATTGAAAATAGCAATACTTGCTTTTGAGTTTTATTTAGACTTACTCATCTGCTTTTATAATAATACATTGCTAACAATACTTGGTAGGACCTGCATAGGTGCTCAAAGTTCAGGTTTATAGCAGTCACATACCATCAAGGTATTTACAATTTGCAAGGATACCACATAAATTGAATACGTACTTTGCTTTATAGGGAATAGTTTATTTTGAAGAATGTTTTAAAATGTTTTTGTACATTTCACATGACTTTTTACAAAATTTTCAAATTATGAAATAATTTATGGTTTTTGGTATATAAAAGCAGTTTTTTTAAAAAACATTATCCAGCATAATCCCTGTTTGCAAAATAAGAGCAAAAGTGGCAGTACACCTCTGTAACAGCTGTTCTGGCGTTCCAATTTACAGTACATCTGCCCTCTTTGTAAATGTATTTAAGCCTATTTAATCTTCTCTAATATTAATTAGTGCAAACGTAGTCTAAGAAAACTGAACTGTGGGCTAGCAAATGGAAATGTATGTTATCATGCAGGTTTGCACTCCTTTGGATCAAGACAAAATAAATATCAAGAAATTTAATAATTTACTGATCCACATTCATTATTGCTCAATGCTGAAGGCTGTTTTAACATAGAACATTGATAAAAAGTGTTATTAATATTCCCTATTTCAAATTAGAAAATTAAATATAAAAATATAGCTTGAGGCCTTTAGTTGGTAGACATACATTTAAATAGATTGCATAATAATAACATTTTGTACCTAAATATAAAATTCAATTAAAATGGGGTTTCTACAGCTACAGATCATTTCTAAAGTTAAGCACACTGCAAAATACACAAATTCTGATGGCTAATTTTACTCACAGATATTTCCTGATATAAAGAAAATAAAAGGTTTTAGAAACATGTAAGTTTTTCTTACCTTCAGAGTTGACCGTTTTCTGTCCTTGAAACACAGGGAGCTCTAACATCTAGGGCAGTGAAGATTGATATTTTTGTTGAAATATGAGACGTTTTATATAGTGCGTGGAAAATAATATTTTTTAACAATTAGACTTATTGATAGCAAGCATTTTTGAGGGTCTCCAAATGTCAGCTTTTGCAGAGTTGTTTGGGGTAAATACAGAGAGATGAGGCTGTGTTGAACTATATGATTATGTCACAGGGAGAATTGCTTGACGGAGCCCAAGACTACATGTCAGGACTGGATGACATGACAGACTCCGACTCCTGTCTGTCTCGAAAGAAGATCAAGAAGACAGAGAGTGGCATGTATGCATGTGACTTATGTGACAAGACATTCCAGAAAAGCAGTTCCCTTCTGCGACATAAATACGAACACACAGGTATGAGTGACTTTGACTAGCTAGTTAGAGCTTCCTGGCCTGCTGTACATTTCATAATATTTAATGAGTACACTTGTGCAACATAAGATGCAGCATATGCTGATACCTTCAACAAGGAAGAAATAATGCTTTTGCCTAGCTCAGTAGGACTTTTTTGTTGCCTGTTTACTGGATCATTCGTGCATTTGTGAGTGAGTGTGTCTTCCTATCTTTCAAGTTAATCTGTAGACCAAATTTACAAATCACGTCAAAGCAATATTTAAATAGCCAGGGCAATGAACTGGAGTAACAAGTCAGTTATTACAAATATCTTCAAATTCTTGAGCTGTGATGAGCTTGTATATGTGAAAATGTAATAAAAAACTCAGTCAATGATGTATTAGTTTCATCAGCCAAACATGAAGTAAGCCATGGTTTAGGGTGATTTTGTTTAGTTTTAATAAATTGGCCACATTTTGAATCAACTAGAACTGTTAGTACCATAAAAAATAAGTAATAGATCAAATGAGCTACTGAAACTACCTATACTTGGAAGGCTAAAATGAAACTTTCTAAATTTAATTAGTTTCTTTCCAAATCATGCATTACTAATTAGGAACAATTACAAAGAACTGACAACACAGCAGCCTAATTCTCTCCTATGAGTAGAAAGATACTGGATTAACTTTTTAAAAAGAAATATAAACTACCATAACATAAGTAAAGCCCTACTACTTCTCACATCCTAGCTCTGATCTGTAGCTTGGTGGTCTAGCGCCACCTAGATTCCCTCCTTTCCTCCTACTCCTCCCGTCCTGAGCATAGGTGCTAGCTCAGTCTCCTCATCCCTGTCCCAACCCATCTCCAACTCTTCTGTACTAGAAATTTGGCATGTGGTACTGGCCCCGGATAGGAAAAGAAAGAGGATAGGATCTCAATCAAAGTGTTGGCTAGTAGAAGAGAGTGGGGAGAAATATAGGAGAAAAATCTCATTTTAAACTAGGAAGTCTGGTGTTAAATATTTTAATATGAAAGAAAAAAAAATCACCCTAACATTAATGCTTTTGGGGGAAATATATGATGAAGCAAAAATGAAAAAGAGAAAAAGGAAAGGGAATGTAAATACTTTCTGGCATATTTTGGCTGCCTAAATCCATGGCACCATTTTCTGGTGATTGAAAACTGTCCTTAGCAGGCACTTGTATTTCTCATCATCCCTTACTCCTCACTGAGTAGGAGTTGGAGGCAGAGGGAAAAGAATCATCCTGAGCGTGGTGAAAGGAGGGCAGTTCTGTATCTGTAGGTATTGAGGGTATTTGAGATAAATAGCAGTGCTGTTGCTCCAGCCAATCTAGCTTTCTCTTTTCTCTGCCATCTGATACTCATTGTTATTTTAAAAGTTGAACTAATTATACTTTAAAGACAACCCAGTTTGGATAACAAATGCAGCTTTTTTACTTGTGCAATATAAATCAGTGTTTGAAATGTCATTTTCCTACATTTGTCTCTTATCATGGATGTTTTCTTTAGTACCAATTCCTTTTTAAACATTTACAGAGTAAAGATACTTTCTTACCTAAATTTACTTCAATATTTTAATCAACCTCAAATATATTTTGTATTTCATTATTCAGCTACAATAGGCACATCACTGAAGGCATCTTTCCCTCTCTGATTGGTATTATTATATGACCATATGCAAACTCTATCATTTACTACATGGTGAGTGCAAAACTTTTATTTTAGTGAGGGCTGTCATACACATTGACATCCAGTCAATATATTTATTTCTTATAAATTAGGTAGCTCATAAACCTCATAGGTATATAGACAGTTGAGAGACCCAAAAGTTGACAGACACAGATTTGCATAATCAACTTGAAAAATATACTTTATTTTTAAAAGTAGAAAATGTTCTGGTCCTCTTTTGCTTAGAAACATTGCCTAGCAATGGACGTTAACCATCCAATGGCTTCTCTAAACTTGTGATGAATTATCCTGTTGCTGGTTCCCCAGCTCATCAGGTTCCTCTCATGTTAACTTTTTGGCCTCTTGACCAAACATCTCATGGCATTACTACTGTCAGTGCATTAGGTTTCATCCAAGTGAAGTTTTTCATAAATTTCCTATCACTGTGATGTGTGTGAAGACTTGGTCCATTTTTCTGCTCTGAGTGGATCACACAGTCTTTTATTTGTTTATATTGTACACTAGTAATATTTTGAGGATGTATTAATATGAAAGTTAGAAGTGAGCACTGTCTTGGGGCTGATTGATTCTAAGGTTGGGAAATAAAGTTGAGTCATCATTCGATTATGTGTTGATTATGAATGCGTCATTGATAAAGTATGTTTGTTATGTCCATCTAAAATTGACATATAGAATTCTTTAAATTAAGATGAAAATTATGAGCTACTTATTCTTGGGATCCTGTGCTCTATTGCCACAACCTGTTCAATTTATGTCGTAGGCAGATAGCAAAGTCCTAATGCTTAATTTTCTTACCAATGGCTTACTGCTTGCTTCCTTGCTTTTCCTGGAATCTAAGGTGGGCATAGAGGAAGAAAATGCTATGTAAATGTTGACGTCAAGAGGATTAATTGTTACAAAAAAAGGACTGTGAAATAAAAAACTAAAAAATAAAAACACTCTTGTTAGGCACTGTCAAGAATGAATTTGTATTGCACTAAAATTTAAATCTGACATGTATTAAGTGCTTTCCCTGTTGAGACACTGTGGTGAGTGATTTTAAATCCACCTTGTTTAGAAAAGTAATAAAAGTGTTTCTACTTTTGAGTAGAAAAAGTCTGTTTTAAATAAATTACCAGTCAATTTTGCTCCTCAGTTACATGATAATTTTTTCATACCACAAACCTTTCATGTATTATTAACTTTGGTCATTTTTCTAACTGTCAGGTGAATCAGGAACCTAGATATTAGAGGAAAAAAATTATCCTAAAAAGTTTTGGTTCACTCAATATCAATTTGGATGTTTTTTGAACCTCGTTCATGTGAAAATTTAATTCTAGAACATCTTGATTTGAATTTGGTAAATAGATCAAACAAATTAAAAGAGGTAAATAGCCAAGTCATTCCCTATTTAAGTTAAATTTATTGAAGATTAACCAGTGGAACATCTGGGGATTAGTAGAACATTGGTGTAATGTATATGTCAAAACTCACTTGCTTGCCAATTCTGTCCTTTACCTGGCATTATAGCTGGACATTTTATCCTTCCAGGCTGTCAGTTCATAATGCAGAATTAATATGGATATATTCCCATTTTAAATATAGTGCCCATTATGGAATAAATTCTCTGAAAATGTATTGCTGGTGACCATAGACTATCTGTATGATAGGCTGCAGTGGGACAGGCATTTCTAAGCATGTCTAACAGGCCTTGAAACCTAAACTGGAGAATGCTTGCTTTCTCCCAGGATGCTCTGTGTTTTGTTGCCTTGGAGAAGAGAGAACCACATCAACTGTGATGTTGGTTGCAAATTAGTCACACAGTCTCTCCATGAAGTGGCCAAACTATTGGGTTGTCAGAAAAGTCATGTATTTTTTCTATGCAAAAATGTGTCATGACTTTTCCAGAGATCTAATAGTTGTCTTTTTTTTGCTCCCAATTTGATAAGACACGAGTGTACAAAAGAGATCTTAGGACTGTTTTTGTCCACTCACACTGTAGCAACTAAAGCACCAAGAAATTTTTCATCTACAGTTTCTTTTCTCTCCATTCAGATTCACTTCTTCCACATGCCCTGTTCCTATTGCATGAATTTTACTTAGAACTTGGGAAATGAATGAATATGTATGAATGAATAAGAATAAAATGATCTAACATTAACTAAGTGCCTACTATGTGCAATCCTTGTGCCAAACACCTTACATCTGCTATCTCCCTTACTCCTCTGCCCACTCCACAGTTGAGGTTGCTCAAATGATCTTCCTTTTACTCATGAAAACCCTGGTCTTCAGAGAGGTTTACGTGTCTGAGACTGCACAGTCAGTCATAAAACATGGACTTGACTCAAGCAGTGAGATGCCAGAACCCCCTCACTTACGTAACACAAATCGTCCTACCCCTATAGATGAGTTACTTTCACTAGAAACATCTTACCTTTTCTCCTGATAACATCCTTTTCTTTAAGGTCCAAGTCCATATAAGCAAGACCAAATTTTAACCCAATGTGAAGTTTTCTGGAAGGCAAAACCTCTTGTCTTTTTCCAAACACACTTCTGCTTCCTGTTAAATTACCTTTCCACCACGGTGGTCTTGTCAAATGGAAAAGCATGCTATCTTTGCAGACTCTTGGCATTCCTGTGGAATTCTCTGTTGTCCAGTTTACCTCATTCAAAACATCTTTTCCAAAAGTTAAGGATTGGTTCTTAGGTGGTTTGAATTATATTTGTTTTCTTCAGCCTATTAGCTGTCTTGAAGTAGGTTAGAATTTTCTAATACAA